ATGGAATAATTGGCACGGGTGCACTTACCTACATGAAGGCAATAGATGTATACACATAAAAAAAAAAAGTTAAGAAAAGAACAAAAAAAACCCCCTAATCTTATTTTTTTATTTGTTTTAAATTATACATATGTATATTTGTGTGTGTGTGTGTGTGTGTGTGTGTGTGTGTGTGTGTGTGTGTAGGTATGTGCATGTGAGTACAAGTGCCCATGGATACCCTGGAGTTGGAGTTCCATGAAGTCATGAACTGCCCGACATGTATGCTGGGACCTGAACTCAAGTCCTCTCGAGCAAGAGCTGCAAGCACTCTTAACCACTGAGCCATCTCTCCATCTTACAAAACCATTCTTGAGGCCGGTGTGGTGGCGCATGCCTTTAGTCCCAGCACCCAGGAGGCAGAGGCAGGGTGATCTCTGTGAGTTCAAGGCCAGCCTGGTCTACATAGTGAGTTCCAGGACAGCTGGGGCTACAGGGAGACCCTGTCTCAAAAAGACCAAAACAACAACAACAACAACAAAACCAAAAACATTCTTGAATGGTGCCAGGCTGTGTCTTGGAAGGAGGTGATATGTAAGGGAAATGCCCATTTATTATTTGCATTCAGAGAGCGTGTATGACTTTTAGTTTATCTGAGAGAAGTTATGTTGAAGTTATCTGAGTTTACAGTTTAATTGTGCCCCACATCCACGTTCATGTATTGGAAAATTAGTCCCCTGTGTAGCATGTTGGGAGATGGGGCCTAGTAAGAGCTGATGGGTTGATGTCATTGATGTGGGAGTGGGCTCAGCATCCTAGAAGTGGGCTTCTTAGAGAAGTGAGTTTGGCCCCCATTGTGCTTCTGCCTCATGCCAGGGGCTGGTGTGGTAAGATGGCCCTCACTGTTAGATAAAAGCCGGGAGGGAACAGACACAGGAAGCACAGGAGGACTCCAGTAAAGCAAAGTTTATTTCTTAGGATCGCTGGTGGCTGGCAGCTCCGCTGGGGAAAGAAGCGACCACAGCCTTCTGACTGCTGAGGAAGTTCTTATAGGGGTTGGGGAATGTGGAGGGTGGCAAAAATAATCTGTAGTTTCAAGGGAAGTAGCTTGACCTGAGACAGCTCTAACATCAGTGGGTCTGGGTGCAGGGGCCTGTTTATCTTCCACAATTATCTGGGGAACAGCTTTGTCCTGCGACAGCTCTAAATGTAGCTGTCTGGCCAGTTCCTGTTTGGCAAGGGGGCCCTCATGGCCTGTTTTGTGAGGCTTTTCTGCCCCGGGAGAAGGTTGTCTGCAGACTTGGACTGTAACACTCACCAGCTGCCAGCCCGTTGACTTTGAACTTGCAACTAGGAGAAAAGAAATAGTTGGAAGTTGTGCAACCACCTTTATTTAACTCGAGAACTTGGGAGGCAGGCAGATCTCTGTAACTCTGGGGCCAGCCTGGTCTGTATAGCAAGTTCCCTGCCAGCCAGGGCTACATAGTGAAACCCTGTCTAAAAGAAGGAGGAGGAGGAGGAGGAGGAGGAGGGGAGCCTGGTCTACATAGTGAGTTCTAGGACAGCTGGGGCTACAGAGAGACCCTGTCTCAAAAAAGACACACACACAAAAAAAGTTACCCAGTAGGCTTTGCTGTTCATCATACTAGTGAGAGATTTAGGAAGGAAGACACTGAGAAGTTCACAACCTGCCTGCATGGGTCTGACCTCGTCTCTCTGACTTTTCCCTCCGAAGGTTCCCGCTTTGGACTACGGTGGTTCACTCCAGTGAGTGAGGTTCCGCTGTGTGGCCACGCCACCCTGGCTTCTGCGGCTGTGCTGTTTCACAAAATAGGTAATGTCCATTTCTTTATGTATGTTTGTATGTTTTTTGAGGAAGGGTCTCATGTTGACCCTTTCTCAAAATAAAAAATCAGAAGGGCCTGGGGAGATATCTCAGTGGTAGATACTTGTCTAACATCTGTGTGGCTTAGATTTAATTCCCAGTACTGGGAGACAAAAGTCACACGTACCAGGTTTATTTTGCTATTTGTGGCTTTCTCTTTTCCCAGGGAACACGAACAGCACTCTGACCTTTGTCACCCTGAGCGGGGAGCTAAAGGCCAGAAGAGCCGATGATGGTATCGTCTTGGACTTCCCTCTCTACCCAACCTTCCCCCAGGTCAGCTCTTGCTCACTGTTGCCACGAGCTGTTCAGCCACCAGCTCACCTGTTCTACAAGGACGTTATCTGTTTTCTTTTCTAGGACGTCCATGAAGTAGAAGACTTGATAAAGGTGGGTGCAAAGGACCAAGTCTGAGCCCATGTGATTTGGTCATTTGCTATTGTTTGAACACAAAGATTTGGTAGGATGTGACTCCATAAAATAGGCCTCCACCCAGTGTAGACCTTCCAGTTGATGCTTAGGGGATTTCTAGTCTGAATTTGGTATTATATTCATTTGGTGAGAAGGTTGATATTTTTGGTTGTATTTTCCTAACAAATATAGCTGGGTCACTGAAAGGCCCTCACTGGTGACTCATTAAAGCTGCACCCCAGAGCTCCCTGCACAACCTGTAGGCAGCTCCTCTCTTAGCAACTGCTTCCTACTTTCATAACCTTGGGGAGGGGCCTCGGGAGCCTTGTAACTTTTTGAATTTCCTGAACCTTGTAAATGTTCTTAGCTTCTTGAATCTTTAGACTCTCTCTCCCCACTTTAGGGGGGAATATTTAATTCCTAAGAAAGAACTACATAACACCCAGCTACCATGCAAGGAACTGGAGAAGGAACTGAGTCCTAAGAGGCCCCAAACTGTGCAGTGGTCCTGGATCACTATGTTCTGATCAGCTCCACTTGGAAGCTGAGGCTGGTATCAATTCCTGCAAATTGTTCTGTGACCTTTAACATGAGCCGTGGCACGTGCATGGAAACACATCTATGTCCCTCTTCCCCTCTTCCCTGTGCCAGGGTTACAGGAAGGCACGTGCACCTGGTATTTTATGTGGGTTCTGGGATTTGAGCTCAGGTCCTCATGTTTGGGCAGCAAACACCCTTATCCACTAAGCCAGGTCTCCAGCCCACATGTCTTTTTAGACAGGGTCTCTCATTGTGTTATGGGAGTTCAACAAGCTAGAGCGTACCGGAGGCGGAGTGGAGGCTCAGATTTTATTCAGGCCAGGATGGACTCAGGGGAGCAACCTCTGAAGCCTGGGCCACAGGATTTTACTGCATTTACAGGCTATCCACCCTCATCTCAGACCTGTTCTGTCATTGGTGGATTGAGATTCTTAGTCTATGTGACTGAAGGCCATGCACATGTGTAGGGGTCTCTAGCATGTTTACAAAGGCAGAAGCAATACAGCTAAATCAGCCCTTTCACAGGCAGCTGTTTTTTTAAGATCAAGCTCTGGTAGTTTTGTTTCCCAACAGGCTCTGGTTTCTTATCTCAGTTGTTCTGGAAGTCACTAATTAGGTCAGATGACTTGCCATCGAGTCGCAGGGATCCACCTGTCTTTTCTCCAACACTGGAATAACAGGGGTGCCTTGCTTGACCTTTTTATTTGGGTTCTAGGAGTTGAACTCGGGTCCTTATGCTTGCAAGGCAAACACTTTACCAACTGTATTATCTCCCCAGCCTGACCTGAAACTTCTGACCCTCCTGCCTGGTTGATGTGGTGCTGTGGATGAAATCAAGGCCTTCATGCAGACTAGGCGAGCACTCGCAACTGAGCCACATCCTCAGCACCTTGAGTTTTGTTTTGATTTTTACATTTATTCATTTGTGTGTGTGTGTGTGTGCTCTCGTGTGCACATGTGCACGTGTGCCACAGCATTAGGTTTTAGGTTGGAGGTCAGAAGACAACTCATACGAGTTAGTTTTCTCCTTCTACTTTGTGGGTCTTGGGGGATTGAACTCAGGTCACCAGGCTTGGTGGCAAGCACCTTTACCTGCTGAGCCATCTTGCTGGACCCTTGAGTTTTTAATCTGTTCCACAGGCTGCCATAGGGGACACTCTAGTCCAGGATGTCCAGTACTCTCCAGATACCCAAAAGCTTCTGGTTCGGCTCAGTGACTCTTACAACAGGTAATCATCATACTTAGCCATTTAACCATGTCAGCACCCAGATTTCTAGCCATGCCTCACTTGGGCTCTGTGATGCTCAAAGCATTGCTGTAGCCATAAAGACCCCCTAAGAGAAAATTTTGGCCTGTGTGGAGACCTAACATTCCAGTTGGGCTGGGTCAGTCACCTAGCCAAGGGACCACCCCAGGAAGGCAGGCTCACCTTAAGCCGTGTTAAAGACATGGGTGAATCGTTAGGGCTTTAATGAGATGGTGAACTTTTCCTCCCCTAGTGCAGTAGCATATTGGGCCGCACATGCAGCTTTGTATGTCTGTCTGGTTTTCTGAATTCTTCAGAAAAGCATAACCTCTCCTTTTCTTCTGCCTCTTATAAGCATGCTTTCCCTACACTGGGCATTCCAAACATTTTGGGTATCTTTTATTTATTTATTCTTATTTATTATTTATTTTATGTGTATGAGTGTATTGCCTGCATGTAAGTGTACTCATGTCATGCAATGCACACAGAGGTCAGAAGAGGGCATCAGATCTCCTGGATGGTTGTTAGCCACCATGTGAGTACTAGGACTTGAACCCGGGTCCTCTACAAGAGCAGTCAGTGCTCTTAACTACTGAGCCATCTTCTCTAGCCCCCATTTTGGGTTTCTTTACTCTTTCTCTAAAGCTCCCCTTCCCAGCATGTGGCTGGGAATTTTAATTTTTTTAAATTTATTTTTATTTTTATGTGTGTAAGTGTTTTGCCTATATGTAAGTACATCTGTGTGTGCAATACTTGCAGGGGCCAGAAGAAGGTATCTGATCTCCTGGAACTGGAGTTACATTGTGTTGATGTAAAATTGTTAGCCATTGTGTTGATGCTGGGAACTGAACCTGGGTCCTCTGCAAGAGCAGCCAGTGCTCTTAACTGCTGAGCTATCTCTTCGGCCCCCTTAAATTATTTTATTAATAAAACTAAAAGTCCCAAGAGGGAACCCCAGTTACCATATATACCCAGCCAGTTTCTTTTCCTCAGATAGATATCAGGGTAGGTCTTTCCTCCTTTCCTGCAGAGCCATCTAGGCAAGCAGCCTGACCTGTTTCCTGTTCTGGGTAGTGGGTGGTCTGTGAAATGCCTTTGTCCTAATCCACCCTCTTATTGCACAAGGTCATTTCTAGAGACCCTGAGGGTGAACACAGAGACTCTGCCTCAAATTGAAAACACAGTGAAGGTGAAAGGACTCATTCTCACTCTTAAAGGAGAGCCTGGAGGGCAGACTCCCGCATATGACTTCTACTCCAGATACTTCGCACCATGGGTTGGCTTGGCTGAAGACCCGGTAACAGGTACTCATTCCTGAAGACCAGGGGATGTTTAAATAGGGAAGAGGATGACAAATAGCTGTTCAAGTACTCTGTTGGTTAGCGTTAATTGTCACCTTGACAATCTACACCCAGCTGGGAAATGGTCCTCTGAGAAAGAGGCTGGGCTGAAGCTAGAAGACAGGAACAGGGGGCTCTGGTGCCTTCGCTGAGTCCTGTCAGAGAACAAAGCACATGAAATTCAAAGCTCAGCAAACAAGCATTTTTAAAGACTCAGGAAAATAACCCAGTATCTGACAGTCCACTGAACCTCTCCCCACGGAAGAGATGTTCTGGGCAGTGCACACACACAGCTGCTTGCCCGAGACTGTAATTGGGACACAGTGTGATTTTTTGGTGTGTTATGTTTTTCTAGAATGTGAAAGTCTTTGGACCAGGACAAACAACCTGCCAGGGTGGCTTGGAGCATGGAACTTTCTGTGCTAAAACTAGAGCAGTTTTGGGAAAACCAGGATGGTTGGTTACTGTACTTAGCCATCCCATAATGCTTAATAAGCTTTCCAGGAAGGTGAGGGGGGATTCTTCCTATCTCATTTCTCCCCAGAGACTTTTCAGTCTCAGCTTTGACTTTTTCGAGACAGGGCTTCATGTAGTCCAGGTTGGCCTCAAACTCCCTATGTAGCCAAGGATATCCTTGAACTCCAGGTTTTCTGCTTCTACCTCCCAATTACTGGGATCCCAGGCCTACACCACCATGTCTGGCAAGACTTTACATTTTGTTTCTTCATTTTCTGTGAAATCTGATTTAGTTGTAGGGTATAACAATGTGAAAAAAATTACTAAGGAGATAAGCTTAGTTGCTATAATGCGTGCCTGGCTCACGGGAGACCCAGGACTGACAAAGATAATAACTAATATCAGCAAAACTAGCCAGGCGTGGTGGCACACGCCTTTAATCCCAGCACTCGGGAGGCAGAGGCAGGCGGATCTCTATGAGTTCAAGGCCAGCCTGGTCTACATAGTGAGTTCCAGGACAGCTGGGGCTACAGGGAGACCCTGTCTCAAAAAGACCAAAAAAACAAAAAGAAAAAAAAAGGAGAAAAACAAAACCCTGACTGAAAAAGAACATTCTTATGGCCCACAAATCTCAGGAGGTTGACCTTTTATCTAAGTTCCATCCTTTTCTTCATTGTGTGCTCTAGAAAGAAAGAGATATGTTCCCTGGAAATATGTACAAAGATTTAGGTGAAGGCCTCAATTTTTAAGAGCTCACAATGGTTGGTGGACAAAACCAGCTTGTTGTCTTGGCTGGTGTTGTGGTGTAGACCTGTAATTTTAGCACTTGAGAGGTAGAGGCAGGAGGGTCAGGAGTTCAAGGGCCAGCCTCAACTACATATAGAGTTCCAGGCCAGTCTGAGCTCCATGAGACCCTGCCTCAAAATACAAAAAAAAAAAAGGGGGCTGGAGAGATGACTCAGTCAGTAGTTAAGAGCCTTGGCTGCTCTTGCAGAAGACCAGGGCTCTATTCCCAGCACTCACATGGTAGCTAACAGCCATCTCTAACTCCAGTTACAGGTGATCTGACGCCCTCTTCTGACCTCCATGGGTTTTGCACGACATGTTTGTACTTACATCCAGGCAATATATACTCATACACATAAAATGAAAATAATAAATGAAATATTAAAAAAACCAAAAACCCCAAATCAAACAAAAACCAACCAAACAAAACCTCCTGCAGTCTAGTTCAACCTTCAGAAGCAGTAATATGTATTTTATCCATAATTTGGATGAGCCTATTCATAAATTCTCTGGCTTCTTTTTTGCCTCCATTCACAATTCCAAACTCTCTGTGTCTGGTCAATATGAGATTAGATGATCTAAGGTTGAGTCAAACTGGATAATTGATGGTAATTGCTTATGCATTGACAGAACCATCCCTTCTGTTTCCTTTACTTTTGCTTCTCCTCTCATAACTTCTGGCTTTTTTCAGGGTCTGCACACACTGTTCTCAGCAGTTACTGGTCTGAGCAGCTCGGGAAGAAAGAGATGCGAGGTAGGACTCCTCCCTTCCAGTTCTTTCCCTCCCTTCTCTTTGGGCACCTGGGTGCTGAACTCAAGCCTTGCAAATGCTAGGCAAATGCTCTCCCATGGAGACATAGCCCCATCCTTTGACTTTTAAGATGGAGTCTTGCTAGGTAGCCCAGGCTAGCCTTGAGTTTGCCTTTGCCTTCTGAAGGCTGGCTGGCATTATAGATGTGTACCACAATACCCAGCACTTTCTCTCTCTCTCTCTCTCTCTCTCTCTCTCTCTCTCTCTCTTTCTCTCTCTCTCTCCCTCCCGCCCTTCTTCTCTCCCTTCCTCCCTTCCTTTCTTTTTGGTTTAAGCGTGTCTATTCTCATATATACTTTCTCCTTAAAAGTGTATAAAATGTTTATTATCGTTCATGTGAAATATTGGTTTAACATCCACTCTTTTTGAATTTTATTTATTTATTTATTTTATGTGTATGTGTGTATTGCCTGCATGTAGGTAAGTGCACCCCTGTCGTGCAATACCCTCGGAGGTCAGAAGAGGCTGTCGGATCCCCTGGAGTGACAGACAGTTGTTAGCTGCCATGTGGGTGCTGGGATTCAAACCCGGGTCTTCTGCAAGAACAACCAGTGTTCTTAACCACTGAGCCATCTTCTCTAGCCCTGTAATATCCACTCTTAAATAACCTCTGCTCCAAATCCTCTTCTCTGGTGGAGACTGAGTTTAGGGGCCAGGAATAAATGACTGCGAGGAGCCAGGAGATTAAAGAAGGTTCACGGAGCTGTTGGCCAATGAGACAGACTTTCTCCTCCCAGGGCACACAGGCCTCTGGGCAGGTGGACACTGGGCCAGAAAGCATGTGGTTGGTCCCAAGGACCTTTTATAGGAAATCACACAATGGTAGCTTCTTGCCAAAACTGGTATAATAGATCACATCACTGTTTTCTTTTGGGGTTCCTAGGCATCCAGTGTGATCCACTTTGTGCTGACTCTTAGCATTAGGTCTAGCAGCAACCATCTTGGCTCATGAGGAAATCCTTATCAGTGCCATTATGTTGTCTAAACAACATACTAGCCTACTAGCCTTGATTCCCTTCACCTACCAGACACTTCTGATATAGCAAGTGCTTTGCTGCATAACTTTAGCTTAGAGGTTATTTACATTATAGTACTGTGTAATGGATGGTCCTGTTCTTTGCCCTGGGTGAGTCCAATGACTCTCTTAAGCACAGAGTTCCTAGAAGGCTGAGCCTCTTATGTGAGCCTGGCCCATGTGGTTGCTTTAATATGCTGTGAGTTAACAAACTCTCTTTGTCCTGTTTGGAGCTGAGGAAGTCAAGCCTTCTCAGGAGGGTTGGGACCACCTCTCTTCATTTTCTTAGACTTCTGGCCCAGGCCTCTGTCTCCTCACACGTCCTTGCCTGCTCCTAGAGGAAGCAATGGGTGGGACCTACCAGGGGCAGTACAGGAAGTAGCAGAAGATGCTCGGGAAGGAAAGCGGTACACAGCAGTTGTGTGTGGCTGTCCAGGTCTGCAGGGTCTGCAGGGGCATGGGGTGAAGGTGGGCGGTACCGTGGACACATGAACGAATCTATTCTTGAAACTGGCCTGGGATGATTCCTGGGTGTGATAAAAGGTCCTCCACCATGCTGTGAGTTACAGAGGAAAATGCTCTTCACTGCCTCCTCCTGTGTTTTCTTCAGCCTTTCAGTGTTCCCGCCGAGGAGGACGACTGGACGTTTCCCTGAGACCTGATGGCCGAGTTGACCTCAAGGGCGGTGTTGCTGTTGTTTTAGAGGGCACGCTGATGGCCTAGAGATGCCTGCGTTGGGATGCCCCCATATCTAAAGATAATGTTTTCTGCATAAGAAGACATGTGAGGGGCCGGCCACCTTCAGCAAGCTTGCAAAGCAGTCTTCTTCATCCTCTTTTAAAAATAGAAAAGAAAGCTGGGTGTGGTGGTGCATGCATTTAATCTCAGCACTTGGGAGACAGAGGCTGGTAGATCTCTGAGATCTAGCCTGGTCTACATAGCTAGTTCCAAGCCAGCAGGGGCTATAGGGAGACCCTGTTGAAAAAAGCCAAGGTAAAAAGGAAAGAAAGAGGAAGAAAGAAGCCCTTTCGATGGAGATGTAATAGTGCCTCACTAGTCCTAAGCGCTTCTGAAGTGTCAGAAACTGGTAGCAGAGCATCATGCCTTTTGATTACAACCACCAATCCAATGAGAACTCTATCGATAAGGAGTTAAGACATTTAAATCTAGGTGTGAGTGCCCTATTGAACATTTCACAACTATTTAAAAGACTCAGGGCTGGAGAGATGGCTCAGCATTTAAGAACACTGGCTGCTCTTATAGAAGACCCAGATTCAAATCCCAGCATGCACACATGGCTGCTAACAAATGTCCTTAACTCCAGTTCCAGGGGATTCAACACCCTCTTCTGACTCTGTGGGCATTGCATGACACAGGTGCACTTACACACATGCAGGCATATCACACACATAAATAAAAATAAATTTAAAAAACCTCAGTATCTGTGAAAATTTAGAAAAACATTTCATGTCGTAATACTGAGAAAGTAGAGGGGACTGTAAGTTATTACGAGGCCACAACGTGCCATGCTGTGCAGTGCTGAGCTGTGCTGTGGAGAAATGGAGTTACATAGGCCGTGAGGATAGAAAAGCCAAACAGTTCATGTTCCGGGAAGATTTAGAGTAAGTTTAGTGTGGCTAAATAGTTACTTCGGGCCAGTGAGATGGCTCTAAGGGTAAAGGTGCTTGTTGCCAAGTCTGAGAACCCGAGCACCCCCCCCCTCCTCCGAGCCACATGGTGGAAGCAGACTGATTTCTGCATGCCCTCTGACCGCCACGTGTGTACCGTGTCCTATACACACATGCACACAAAATAAGTAAATAAATAAAAAAAATAATTTGCTTCATTGTTTGCATTCATATATAATAACCAAAACTTAAAACAAGAAAAAATAAGACTGGAGAGATGGCTCAGAGGTTGACTGCTCTTGCAGAGGACCTGGGTTGGATTCCTAGCATCCACATGGTGGCTAACAACTATCTTTATCTCCAGTTCCAGGGACCCAGCGCCCTCTTCTGACCTCCACAGGCACTACACAACATGGGTACAACCTACCTACATGTAGGCAATACACTCATACACATAAAATAAAATAAACAAGAAAAAATGTATTAGGTGAATCAGGATAATAACTCTGTGGGTAAAGCACTTGCCAAGCAAGCCTGATGAACTGAGTTTGGATCTCTAGAATCCTCATAAAAGCTGGATGTGGTGGCACGTGTCTGTGATCCCAGCACACCTACACACACAGCCCGGCAAATGCATCGCAGTGGCAAACAACTGGAGAGATGCTGACTCAAACAAGGTGGAAAGCTAGTGCTACAGCTGTGGAAATTCACCATCTGACCTGCTCCCCTGCTTTTAGTCATTTTTTTAAAAAACTGTCAAGCCAGGCATAGTGGTGCTGCCTGTAATCTTAGCACTCGTGAGGAGGAAGCAGGAGGATAAGAAGTTCAAGGCTAGCCTTGCCCCATCCTGCTTCAAGAAACAACAAACCTGTTAACAAATTTTTAGAATGGATGCAGGAATCCCTCAGGAATGGAGTCATAAGAGAAAGGGTGGAACTGGGTTCTCTGAGCATGATTCCAACGTCAGCATCAGCATCGGCAACTTGGTAGAAATGCACATTCACAAGCCCCTTCTAGAACAACAGAATCTGAGGCTCTGAGGATGGGGCCCAGTGCCTTTGAGTTTTAACAAGCCCTCGAGGTGATTCAGTGATGCGTAAGTTCAAGAACGGCTCTGCCCAGGCTTCCAGAAGTAGCCGCCACTTTCATCACTCCTGTGACAGCTGCCTGTGCAGCTCAGTGGCTTTTAAATGCACCTGCCTCACAATCTCCCTGACTGCACCAACATAGTTGCTGCGCACTACACTCTTACAGAATATATATTTTTATTAGCTTCCAGAGCTGTTCAGCACAGAAAAATTAGCTGTGCTCAGGTGGGACTGTTTGATGTTGTGTTGGTAACAAACAGATTAGTTAATCAGCCATGATTTATTAATGATGAATTAATTATACCTGATTGTGCAGTTCTGCTAGCTAAATGGAGCTTTAAAAGACTTATTTTATTAATGATTGTGGTGCTAATTGCAGTCACAGAAGGATCTCTAATTAAACATGCAAACCATATGCAGGATAAGTGGGGCTGCTGAGTCCTACAAGAAAGAACCTTTTTTTTTTTTTTTTTGTTGGTCTTTTTGAGACCTCCCTGTAGCCCCAGCCAGCCTGGAACTTGATATGTAGACCAGGCTGGCCTCGAACTCAAAGATCCACCTGCTTCTGCCTCTCAAGTGCTGGGATTAAAGGCGTGTGCCACCACTCCTGGCACAGCAAGGACTTTTAAAATTCCTCTGCCTCCCAAGTGCTGGGATTAAAGGCTGCGCCACCACACCTGGCAAAAGAAAGAACCATTTTTTAGGGGAACCGAAACAAACTTTATTTTATGCAACATTAAGAATTTCCCTTGGCAATGTTAATTAACCACTGCATATTAATATAGTAATATAGTAAGACTTTCCAACAGGAATTGATCCCATCTATCTATCTATCTATCTATCTATCTATCTATCTATCTATCTATCAATCTATGTATATATCTTTGTATCTATCTACCATCTCTATCTATCTATCAATCTATCTATCTATCTATCTATCTATCTATCTATCAATCATCTATCTATCATCTATATAGTGCTCTGGTGGGAGTCTGTTAAGAAGGATGTGTTGTTTGGTCATGTTACTCCAACTTGCTTTACTTTCTTCTGTGAGTGATCATTTCTGTGGTTTCCAGTTGGGGGCTATGCATAAGCTTGGTATGAGGAGGGGGCTGGCTGGAGGGATGGCTCAGTGGTTAAGGGAGCTTGCTGTGCAACCTGGATCCCAGAACCCATGTAACACTCTTGGAGTCCCATAAATACCTGTAATTCCAGCTCTGAGGGATCTGATACCCTCTTCTGGCTTCCATCTGTACAGCATGTGCAACCACACACACAAACAGACATGCACACATAAATCAAAAAGTTAATCATGAGGCTGGAGAGATGCTCAGCCGGTAAGAGCAATGGCTGCTCTTGTAGAGGATCCAGGTTTGGTTCCCACCACATGGCGGCAAACAACTGTTCATAACTCCAGTTCCAGTGGATCCAATGCTCTCTTCTGACCTCTATGGACATGACATTATACGAGTGCACTTACATACACACAGGCAATACACACATACACGTAAAATAAATAAAAATATTTTTAAGTTAATATTTTTAAAAATCTGGTATGAACATGCTTATATTTGTCTTTCAGTAAACATGCATACTTCTTACTTCTGGCTGTGTACCTTGGGGTATAATTGCAGAGTAATAGTTTTAGCATATTTAGCTTGGACCTTGCCCAGTGGTTTCCTAGTGGAGTTGAATGGGATCTGGTTGTTTAGCTCAGTTGGTAGGTTGGCCTAACGTGCATGAATTACATAAAAAGGGAGCTCGGTGGTGGACACCTGCAATTCCAGCACTCAGCAGGCTGAGGCAGAAGGATCAGGAGTGTAAGATCATCCTTGGCTACATAGTTAGTTGGAAGTCAACCTGGGATACATAAGACCCTGTTTCAAAAAACAATCATATAGCCGGGCATGGTGGTGCATGGCTTTAATCCCAGCACTGGAGAGGCAGAGACAGGCAGATCTCTGTGAGTTCAAGGCCAGCCTGGTCTCCATAGTGAATCCAGGCCAGCTAGGGCTACAGGGAGACCCTGTCTCAAAAAAACCAAAAAAAAAAAAAAACAAAAAACAAACAAACAAAAAAAACCAAAGCAACAAAACCAAAACAAAAAACAATCAACAATAAAAATAAAAAGACATATGTCATGATGTACTTCTTTAATCCCAGCACTGGGGAGGCAGAGGCAGGGGGGTCTCTGTAAGTTCAAAATCAGCCTGGTCTACATGGCAAGTTCCAGGCCAGCTGGGGCTACAGCAAGACCCTGTCTCAAAATCCAATCAATCAATCGATCGATCAATCAATCAATCAATCAATCATCAATCAGAGAGCTGAGGAAGTAGTTCAGTAGCAGAGCATGTGATAGAATGAGTGAGGCCCTGGGTTCAATCCCCTGTACCAAAAAATATGAGGAAGACACCCCATGTCAACGTCTGGCCTCCACATGTACATGCACCTGCACTCACACATGCACAAACACATGAACCCACACACAAATAGTACAAAGAATTTCCACTGTTTTACACAATTGAGTATTTGATTTTTCATATATACATCTATTATCTACCTCAAATAAATATTCATATGTTGTGTGAGGTGAGTGCCAGGTTCATTTTTCATCCATGCAGCCAATTCCTCTGATTACAAACACTGAAAAGCGCCACTTGCCCACGAACTGGCAGTAGAGACATTGTCAGCTGACTGTCTCTGGTGAGTCTTCTGGACTTGCGAGTCTGCTCTTCTGGCCTGTTTCTCTGTCTTTGTACTGACACACTGCTTTATTGTAAGTCCACAGTCAACTGTGATATCTCAAAGTATAAGTTAGTCAATACTTGGGTTGTTAACCCTTTAAAATCTTGCTGGAAATTTGATTAAACAACATCAAATTTATAGGTCAGCCTAGGGGATGCTGAGATCTTTTTAAAAAAAATTTATTAATTATTTTTATTTTATGTGTATGAGTGTTATGCCTGCATGTAGGTAAGTGCACCCGTGTCATGCAGTACCCTCGGAGGACAGAAGAGGCTGTAAGGATCCCCTGGAACTGGGGTTATGGACAGTTGTTAGCTGCCATGTGGGTGCTGGGATTCGAACCTAGGTCTTCTGCAAGAATAGTCAGTGTTCTTAATCCCTGAGCCATCTTCTCTCCAGCCCTGGGATGCTGAGATCTTAACGGTGTTTTGTCTTTGAGTTAATGAACTTAGATGATCCTTCCCATATATTTTTCCACTTAGTATTTTACAGTTTTCAGCAGGGGAGTCTTACATAACTTTGAATAGAATTATCCTCAGCTTTATGCTTTTTAGATGTTATAATAAATGTTATTTTAACTGGGGATATAGTCCAGTTGGTAGAGTACTCAGCATGTACAAGTCCCTGGGTTCAATCCCCAGCACCCAATAAATCAGGCATAGTAGCATGTGCCTGTAATTCCAGCACTCAAGAGATGGATGCAGGAGGATCAGAAGTTCAAGGTCATCTTTGGCTACATAATGAGTTTGAGTTAAGGCCTGTTTTGGATATATGAGACCTTGTTTCAAAAATAAAAAAGCA